GAAGGAGCAGGTCTCCTCCCACCGCGGGTTGAAGCCGTTCTCCAGGACCTGCTTCGTCAGGCAGGTCCTGCGGTCCTTGTCCACGCCGCAGATGCTGACCCGCACCATGGGGTTAGTGATGCCTTCAAGAGGTATGACCGTCGGCTTCGGCAGGTACTGGCCGCACAGCACACCTACGCTCAGCTTACAGCCTCCCTCGTGCTCGGGCGCGGGCAGGAATTCGGGCTTCAAGATGTATCCTGAACCGCCGTTCTCGTTCCTGAAAAGCCCCTCGTTGATCAGCACGGGCAGGTCCATGCTCTGGTAGTTCAGCGCGACCATCTGTACGCCCGCAAGCCAGAATGGCATGGGGTCGTAATTCGAGCTGCTGGTGCGCGTGGCCATCGGGTAGACCCTGGAAAGGTAGGTTTTGTGATGCTCTCGCGAGCGCTCCAGGTTCTCACTCAAAAGCTTCTCGGCCTTCTTCTCGTTGAGCGATACAATGTTGCAGGGAAGTAGGTCTAAGTTACCGCCTTCTGACAGCCCACCACGCGGTGCCTTCTTAGAGACCAAGTACAGAGTCCGCGCGTACTCCTGCAAGGCCGCGTGGTCGAGGGTGGCTGTCCCGTCCTTCCCCCGCGCCAAGCGGCGAATCGCCCGCCTTGCCGAGCTCCTTCCTGTCCACGTCGCCGACAGCGACTTACTGCTGGTGGTCTCCCTGACAAGGTTCGTGCTCTGAGTAGCGTCTGTGGGCCAGACGTAGGACTCGTCGCGCCTCGGGCTGCTGGCCATTGGCGAGGACGGGGTCGGCTCGAACTCGACAGACCTCTTGGGCGACTCGTAGCGGTCGGCGTGGGCCGGCTTCGGCGGCCTTCGGGGCGCAGGGGTCTGGAGCGAGGGGGCACGCAGACATACAAAAGGGAACAACATGGCATACAGCGGGTCCACATTCGAGAGCACACTATCGCATATGGATCGAGTCCGTGCCGCTGGAATTCGCAGTGAATTCCCCGACGCTTCCGCGTTCGTAGACCATCGCTTTCTTTCAGCAACTTACGCGACATTCGGCACGCACTCCTCACGCGGATCGCATGCGGGGCCACGTCACATTCCGCACACCCCTCACGCGGATCGTGCAAGCTCCACCTACGGGCCCAGTGGTGGACATCAGAATGCATGCCAACGCCCAACTCTGGACGCCGCTCACGTGGATCGCGCCACCGTGCGGAGCCCCACCTACGGCCCCGGTGTTGAGGTTCACATGCGGGCCCACGCCCAATTCGGCGATCCTCCCCACCGGCAATTCCACCCGATCAAAAACCCAGTGGTGACGTCCGCATACAGACCCCTGCTAACTTCGGCACACACACACACTCCATGTGTGGATGCCACGACAAAGGACACCCCTATCCCTGAATATAAAGTGTGTTTAAAATGTCGGAAACATGTTCTAAACATGTTTTAAACATGTGTGTTACATGTTCGGAGCATGTTTAACACATGGTTTAGACATTTGGAAATTATTTGGCAGCATGCTTCCTTTCCACGGATCGTCCTCCACGACACTCCATCCAGATCGCGCACCATCGCGGGCTCCACCCAAGGCTTCAGCGAGCGCACCCGCATGCGGGACTCGACCCACCAAGTCCATGTGGGCACACCCCATAGGGAGCTCTACCTGCAGTCGCAATTGTGAAGACCGAATGGGGGCCAAATGCTTAATTCAAACTCTGAACCGTACTGGCGCAATATCCACGCCCGCTCATCGAATCCCTGAGTAAGCAGATGTTCGCACTGTCGTCACACTTGGATTGTTCTAGTCCGACATGCACCCTGCCCCTAGATTTACGATATGACTCTGAGCCTTCGGGACAGCGTGCCGAGGCACCGTGAGAATGGCCAAGACATGCGCCGTTTCGGCGAATGGCTGGCAGCCCGGATGCTGGCTGTGCTCCTGCTGGCAACGGAGGAGGCGCGGATGTTGGTCGTCGTCGTCGTCTCTGTCCCATCCTCCGCGATGATCTCATGAGGCACCTTGCCCTTGACGATCACCCTCCGCATCGCCGCAGCGGGCGAGACCAGCTCTGCGTTGGCCAGGCCGCTGTCGGGAAGTCTAAGCAGCTGGTCCCCTAAAATGTCATTCAGGATCTGTCCCATGCGCGCCAGTTGCTTCGACCCACAATGCACCTCCAAGCTGAGGGTGAGGGGATACTGGGAGGCCACGAAGCCGTAGTCCCTGCAGACCCGCACGACGTCCTGGAACATCAGGCGCGAGGTGGCCGTGTAGCCGTGCGTCACGATCGGCTCGCCGTCGTCGCCATCCCAGCAGTCAATCTCCACGCAGCGGCAGCCTCGGAGCAGCACGTCGATGTACTGCTCCAGCGTGCTCTTGCCGAACAGCTGATCGCTCTGCAGGTAGGTGTTGTGCGAGGAGGAGACCCAGTAGTGCGAGATCGGCCGAGTCATGTCCTGGTGCACCTGAAGGGGCCCCATGACACAAATAAATACACACAAATAAACATATTCCACATATTTTCCCCATATTTTTGGGGTTGTCGTCTTCCCCCCTACTTCCCATATTTTCCTATATTTTCTGGGGAATCGCCGGCTAATTGTGTCTGTGTGGTTTTTGTCCCTCCTGAGCACCCTCTGCCGGCGAGCAGGATCGAAGGCCGGGTTCTTGGAGGAGCACAGGAGGTACGAGAACCCCTGCTCGGTGAGGTGAGGCCGCCCCTCGACAGACACGACGTAGGGGTCCTGCAGGTCTCCGAAGACCGCGCCCGTCTCGCCAGTCTCGCACTGCTCGTGCTCGAGGAATTGCAGGTAGCAGTCCGTGCTGATGCCGTTTGTCTGCATTCCTTGAACAAGAAAAACAACATATAAGCATAAACTTTCGGCGCTCCGCGCGGATTTCTTGGATCTGCGCTGGGCCCCCCTCCCTGGCGCGCGGAGCGCGCCAGGGGCGGCGCTGGAGGCGCCGCCGGGGGGCCCAGGCGCGGATCCACGAAATCCGCGCGGAGCGCCAACAGTTCATGTTTATGTGGTTGTTTTTCTGAGCATTCTCCTAGGCTAGAGGGCTCAGGATGAAATCCATATGGGCTTTACGCCTCGAAAACCAGTCCGTCTTGTGACCCACTTTTTGCAGATTCAAGCATCGAAAACCGATCGAAACGGCACTTGAGATTTTACCCTTTGCCCTCCACCCAAAGAAACTGCTCGGTTTTTTCCTCTTCGAATTCCGAGGTCTGTCACCACAGGACGTGCGTACTTCAGGAACCAGGGAGCCAGCACCTCTTTGACGGCCAGCGCCTGGAAGAGGCGCGCGAACTCCTGCAGCTGCAGCACGCCGTTGCCGTCCGCATCGAACTCGGAGAGCACCTCCGACGGGGCCCAGGGACACACGAACAAATACACACATATCCCAGAATTTCCCATCTTTTTCTATGTTTTGGGGGTTTTCGTTTTCCCCCCATTTCCTATATTTTCGCATATTTTCTTAGGAATCGTCGATTGATTGTGTCAGTGTGTTTTTTCCCCTCCTGAACCTCGCCGACGGCGTTGGAATTGCCACCAGCTGCCGGAATCAGATCCGTGAGCTCCGCCAAAGAGATGTCCCCAGACTTGTCCTGGTCTAGTCTTCTGAACTCCCGGACGATGGTGCTCCACAACACGTCGTCCACCTTGGTCCGCATGAACTTGGTGTTCCTCTTCCTGGCGAGCTGCGACAGCTGCAGCAGCCCAACGACCCAGAGCTTCATGGACTGCCGCGATGGCGCAACGAGCTTCATCGAGTAGCTGGAACAGACTATCTGGAACTCGTTCAGCAGCTTCTGCGAGACCTCCGGGCCGTCGGGCTCGTCCAGCACGGTGGCCGCGATGTAGTGGACCTCGGAGAGCACCAGGCTTCCCTTTGCCTGCGGCGCCACCGCGCGTGCGAGGTCGCGGTCCCACCTCAGCTCCGGATGGCCACTCGCAGTCCTGTGCCTGTCGATGACCACGAACATATACTTCCTCTCCCGCTGAAGAAGCACGTGCGGCTTCCGGCGCATCTCCTTCAGCGAACTAAAACGACCTCCGTCTGGTCGCCTCAGAGGGTGCTTCACCAGCAGCTCGCCTGTCCGCACCCAGGCGCACGCCTCACGCCGGTCGAGCTCAAACTTCTGCATGTTGGTCCGGGTGACGTTCCTATCGTAGGACGTGCGCGAAAAGCCCGTGGCCTCATCAAGCTGGGGCTGAACCTGGGGGAACGACCGACATCAGCCCAACAAGCGCTCAACGTCACCCCCCTGGACCCCTCGCGCGGGGTCCATCCTGGCAGGTGTTCGTCCCCAAGTGGATGTTTGACGGCCTCGGGGGCCAGAAAGAGCCTTGCATGGACGGGGGAAGGGGGCTGAGCCTCAAGCAAGCCGCAAACGACTTGCACGTGCAGAAATGACGCAAGTCGAAGGTCACTTGCGCGCTCGTGTTCGTTTGAAGAGTGGCGAGGGGGTGGGGGCGGCGAACGCAATGCAAGTCAATTTAACCGAAAACATATATACCTATATATATGTATATATGTATATATGTTGAGATAAATACATGTATATATATTATACATATATATATACACATACACATATGCATGTATGTATGTATGTATGTATGTATGTATGTGTGTATGTATGTATGTATGTATGTCTGTCTGTCTGTCTGTCTGTCTGTCTGTCTGTCTGTCTGTCTGTCTGTATGTATGTATGTATGTATGTATGTATACATGCATGCATGCATGTATGCATGCATGCATATATGTGTGTATGTATGTATGTATGTATGCATGTATGTATGTATGTATGTATGTATGTATGTATGTGTGTATGTATGCATGCATGTATGTATGTATGTATGTATGTATGTATGTATGTATGTATGTATGTATGTATGTATATGTGTACATATAACTATATCTACATATATATATATACAAGATGTATTTAAAACACAAGCAAATATTATTATTGATTTAAAAAACATATCAAACTGGCCTCTGAAGGCCGACACCGAAGAAAAACGCCACCACCCGCACGAGCTCTGCTGGTCCAGGGGTGCCTGGCTGTGGCCGCTGGTGGCCGAGGGCGAGCAGCGCGGCTCCTGCCAGGAGGCGCGGAGGGACATGGACGCGGAGGCCACGGGCGAGAAGGCGCCTTCCGGCGACTCCACAGGGTGAGGTCTGCAGGGGGTGTGGTTTGCGAAACCGGCACCCTGGGGGGGCACCCAGGGGGACCTCGATGTGGGTTCTCCCGCGCCCCGTCCTCCTCCTCCTCCTCCTCCTCCTCCTCTTCCTCCTCATCCTCCTCCTCTGACGACGACGACGACGAGGAGGACAGTGTCGTGCACCCCAGGCCCCAACGGTGCCGATCGCGAACCACACCCGGGCGTAACCGTACCCTTTGCAGTCGCCGAGGGCCTTCCCGGTCAGAGTCGTCCAGGGAGTACTCCGGGGAGAGGACGGTGCTCGAGCGGCCTCTCCTCGCGGGGAGCAGACGCCTCCTCCTCCTCCTCCTCCTCCTGGACCAAGCCCCAGCGCAAGATGAATCTCTCGCGCCACGTCCTGTTCCCGCCGCCGCGCGGGAAAGGCCCTAGAGGCGGGCGGCGCCTCCGACTCGCTCGCTCCAGCGCGCAAGCGCACAAGCGAGGAGCAAAAGCATCTCATCTTGCACTGGAAACCTCACCAGCACGGATGAGGTCGGCATCATCGCCTTGGTGGGGGCGCCGCCCAGCGAGGAAGCCTGGCGTGACGGCGGCCCCGCAATGACAATCACGGACAAGCAGACGGGTGGGCACCATTTCGGGCCCCAGACAGGGAGGAAGCAGGAGCACCAGTGCGGGCCCCACGAGAAGATGAAGAAGCACCGTCGGATGAGGTCGGCCGCCCTGAAAGGCTGCACTAGCGGGTACCAGACCCGATTCGCCTGAAAGCGCGGTGGACCCGGCGCGAGAGTGGCCGGGACCCGCGCTCCCCATGAGGCAGCAGGTGGCGGTGCTGTGCAAGATGCGCCGAGACGGGCCGAGACTTTCACCCCCCCAATCCTACACACCGCACGCACACCACATATTACACCCTTTTTTTTCGTAATGGACACCTTGGGTCTGACAATGGTGTCCTTGGGTATGACCATGGGTTAAGTTAAAATCGCCAGCTTCCCAACTGATGGGAAGGGGATCCCATACCCCAACTGGAAACGGTGGATGACATGCATCACGCCTCCACGCTGCGCGGCACGAGCGGCAGCGAGGTCGGCCCTCTCGAGCGATCGCGGTGTGGCAGTATAGGCGGAGGTGGGCAGCACGTGCAACGCAGGCGCGCGGGACTTCCCTGCGCTGCTTGGGAGAGATGTGGGCACAGTCAGAATCAGTGAGGACAGGGCCGATCTGGGCTGCCCCCGTGGCCATCTTCAAAAACAGAAACACGCTCCTTGGCAGCCCTGGCCCGGCGGAGCTCGCGAGGGAGTCGGGCGCGCGGAGCCATCCGTCCACTGGGCCCGGTCGTCGGCCTCATCGTTGCCCCGGCCGTCTCTGAAGCAGACGAGAGCCCTGCCTGCACTCTGCTTGGACTGCAATGCCCTCGCCGTCCCTACACTCAGTCTATTTCCTACACCAGTGTTGCACAGGCACGGTGGCAGGGTCTGCTGCAGGCAACCAGATACCTACGACCGAGAAAAAACCGAATGACTGCGCCATTGTCCGTCGCAAAAGCGGCGTGACCACCTGCTGTCCTGAGCGCAATGTCCTCTGACCTTGCGCACTGCAACATTGTCTGCTCCTCCCCAGTCATAGATCTGCTCCCAGGCCTGGCACCGGAGCTCGGCCCAGGCGGATCGAGAGGAGCGACACCATCGCTTGCCGCGACGGTACGGCCCATCGACGACAGAAGAGGAACATGAAAAGGAAATGGAACCAGGCACAGCATGCTGCAACCCGCGCAACAAAGCGAACAACTCAGCCTTGTCAGCGTCAACACAAACGTCGTCCAAACACCCGACGAGCACCGACAAGACACGGAAAGGATGGCTGGGCTGAATGGCAAGGACCGCCCACGCAACGGCCTGCGCATGAGCGGGAAGGTGCTGGTCATACCAGCTGCCGTCCAAGAAAATATGTCCTGAGAGTGCCTCGGGTCCTCCTCCGAACCACTGCTCGGGGATGGCAACGGAAGGAGGGAGGACAGCATCAGACACCAGCAGCCTCTCAACAAAGAGGAGAGGAAGGGGACGACCACAAACCAACAACAAACTCTCGAGAAACTCGGGCGGCGACAAGTGCGGAAAGAGCTCATGATGCCCAGGACACGCAGCATGCCTGTGCAGGAGGGTCCCAGGGCCAGACTTGCAGAACTGACACAGAGGATTAGCACTGAGCTTTTCATTCCACTGGCGACGCTGTGGCCATTGACTACCACTGACCACGCTTCGAAGGTATCCTTTGGATCCAGGCGCGAGCCATCGGTATCGAAGAACTTGCCTGATGGGCTCAAGAAGACAGCCAGCTTCAATTTCTGGAAGCCCTACTCGCTCAACGAATCTCGTTCAGAGCGTAGCCTCCACGACACGGGTTAACCATAAACTAACGGTCCCAGGTCCCAGTTCCGAGACGTCGACGGCTCCAAGCCCTGGGAAACTCCAGCGGGAACCTTCAACAACAGCGCCGAGCCCACTGACACTGGCGGCACACGCCGAGAACGGACCTTGTATGCTGGCCCAAGGGTTCCCATGCCCCTGAAGACGCTCGACGGCGTTGCTGAACCCTTGCTGCAGCATTCGTCGAGGCAGCCGGCTCTCCCAAACAGCAGTGGCGAACGCTTTGAGAGGATCGGAGTTGAGCGAGAAAGCGGGATCAACCTTAGGTGACTCGGCTAGCATGAGCAGCACTGTGACAGATCTGCCCGCTAGCCGCTGGGTATGCACGTGTGCCTCCATGGTCCTCGTGACCTTCGGGTCTGTGCCAGGCGTGCCCCATGACACTGTTACCGCACTGAAACGGCGCGAGCACTGCACTTTGCACCATGGTGTGCAAGCGTTTTTTCTTGACGAGCCCCGAGAGATGAAGCACCTTGCGGGCCTGGCGACCGCTGGTTGCCTCCTGGTGGCTCGGGTGGCACGCGGGAAAACACGGCCTGCAGCGAAATATGTGCCCAGGTTCCTCTCTGTCCTGGAGCCCTGGACCCGAAACCGACGGAGCAAAGACACGAGCGACTGACGAAGGGCAGGCGATGAGGCAATGAATGACCTTGCTCTTCTTGACCGCTGTCGGCAATTGCACTGCGTGCAGCTCGCTGCGTAATGTCCGAGTGGCCTGAGCGGGCGTTTTAGCAACGCCGGCCGTTCTCCCGACACGCTGGAGCCCAAAATCGTACACAAAATTGCCGAGGTGCACACGTCGAAAAGCCTGCTGGACACGGTCGATCGGCAGCAGTAGCAGCTGAAGCATAGTGGTGGCGAAATGACAACGAGGCAGAACGGCCTGAAGGGCCGAAATCGGGCTGGAGACGACATCGTAAAGCGACAAAACCCTAGGACAGCGGTGAAGCTCCACGAGAAGCTTCAGCTGGCGGAGCGGGAACCCCGACTGCGCAGCCGCCGAAACCAGCTCCGAATGCTTGATGCACTCAAACGCTTTCTGGAAGTCCAGTAAAACGAGAAGCCGAAGAGAAACCTCGAGCCAGGGCCAACTCGGCTGAGCACGCTCGAATCCACACTAACTTGTCACTAGAGTGGCCTGGCGTGGACCACCAGTAGGGCCTGGGATTAGCCTCTTGCCGCTGACGAGCGATGGGCTTGCGCAAGCGCCCCTGGATGCGAGCTAAAATATGGATGAGAGCTATTGCCCTCAATCCTCCATCCTTCTTGGCTAAGAAAACGATATTGGTCCACAGAGCTGGCCAAATACGGGTAGTCTCGACCTCCATCAAGACACCAACTAAAACGAAAGGGCCTCATCCGTGAGCCCTAGAAGCTGCCAAGAGAAAGTGATCGACACCGCACCCTGACCTACGGGGAAAGTTGCAAATACAGCGCTTGAATTCTTCTAGCGAAGGGCGCTCGAAACACGGACCTAGATCCTCATGGAATCCTCCGGCCCTCCACCACTCAGACCACTCCCGAGCCAACATCTCCACCTCTTCATGACGCGTGCAGGGAGCGCCCGTGGCGCTGATCTTGCCAGAATGCCATGGTGTTGGCGGCCTGTTGTACGCAAACAAGGCGGCAGCTCCATCGATGGAGTGCCGCTTCACCCAATCTCTCCAGCCAGCCATCTTACTATTCTCAGCACTGCGATGCGCTGCAACCGCCTTGGCTCTGGCCAACTGCCCTAAGAGAGAAGCGAGCCCAAAAGGCAGAGATCGCACGACTTGTAACAACAAAACCCAGGGCCCCTCCTCCTCCTCCTCCTCCTCCTCCTCCTCCGCCTCCTTCCCCCCTTCTCCTCCTCCTCCCCCTCCTCCTCCTCCTCCTCCTCCTCCTCCTCCTCCTCCTCCTCCCCCTCCTCCTCCTCCTCCTCCTCCTCGTCCTCCTCCTTCTCCTCCTCCTCCGCCTCCTCCTCCATTCCTTCTCCTTATAAACAACTCCTCCCTGTCGCACCCCGAGGTCAGTTTTTAGGGCGGGCCGGGCGTTTCGCCTGAGACTTGCTCACCATTTATGGCTCTGAAGCTTAAAAGGTGACGCCAGCTTCACAGATGGAGGGCGGGCCGCTTTCAAACTGTGGCTCTTGCCTTAGCGCCGCGCGCATTCTTGTTAAACACTCGCAAGGGCTTCACGGATTGAGGGCGGATGGTTTTCATCATGTGGCTCTCGCCTTAGCGCCGCGCACATTCGTTTTCAACATCGGCAAGAGCTTCACGGATTGAGGGCGGATGGTTTTCATCATGTGGCTCTCGCCTAAGCGCCGCGCACATCCGTTCTTAAACATTTGCGAGCATTTCACGGATTGAGGGCGGGTGGTTTTCACAATGTGGCTCTCGCCTTAGCGCCGCGCACATTCGTTTTCAAAGCTCGCAAACGTTTCACCGATTGAGGGCGGGTCGTTTTCCAAAGGTGGCTCTCGCCTTAGCGCCGCGCACAATCGTTTCAAAAGTCTGCAAGAGCTCCACGGATTCAGAGCGGTTCTTGTAACATGTGGCTCTCGCCTTCGCGCCGCGCACGTTCGTTTCCAAACTTTGCAAAGGTCCCACGGGTTTCTATGATCAGCGCACCACAAATTGCGTTTCGGAATGGTTCAGGACTATGCGGGCGCAACAGTTATGTTCGTTCGCTGTGTTGAAGTCCCCAACATGGCGTTCTGGCACGATTCTGGATCGTCACAACGCAGCAGTCAGGTTGCTACGTTGCGCTGAAATCCCGAGAACAATGTTTTGGCACGCTTCAGAATCTTCAATCTTCCAACGAGGCAGTTCCCTCAATGGAAATGAACCGTTGTAGGGGCCTATGAAGAGGGAGTTTGGAGGGAGGGTTAATTCCAACATCGTTGATGAC